TAGGTGGACGAGTGCCACGACTCGCAACAATTTAACTTTAATTTAAGACCTTTTTGCCGAGGGAACTATCAAGAAAGTCTTCCCGCGATCCATTATCCTGTGTCACGGCGTTCACCAGTTCCAGAAAGCATCGGAACTGTTGGTGGCCGTCACGGTGCGAAGTATTCGCCGATAATCGCGCGAATGGAAATTATGTTTCGCTAACGACGCGGTCGGTGTTCTTGCGGGTCGGCGACACAGAGCTCTGAAACCCGCCGACCGTTTCAGAGTGGCGGCGTGCCGCTCGAGGAATTCGCCTCGCGTCATCGTGTCGCTATATTTCCCGACAATGAGTAGTAAAGCTCGGTGATATACGCGAAAAGGGACGAGGGTGTCGGTTTTTTCGCTGCGGCATACGGATACGTTGGAAAAGAAAGCGGAGAAGGAGGAAGCGGCCGCAGAGAAAGAAAGAGAAGAGGAGAGCAACGACGCGAGCAAAAAGGCTTTCGTAGCTAACCTACGAGCAAAGAAAAAAAATAATGGTTGTCCTGCAGCTACGGTAGTCTGTAAAAATGTTTCGCCGTACAGGCAACAGCAGCAGCAACAGCAGCAATGGCAGGAGCAACAACGACGAACGCATTTGAATACCGCCTGTCCTTGGCAAGTATTGTCTGCCTTCCTTCTTCTTCTCCTCTTTCTGACTCCGTTTCTTCGGCTTCTTTTGCCTCCCCTTGGTCTCCGCTACCCCTTTGCTACTCTTTCCCTTGATTCATTATTCGAATCCTTCTCGTAATGCGTTCGTGTGCGTGTACTTAGCGTGCCACGTGCTCCTTCGAGCTAAATTGCCGAGTAAAACGCTCGTAATATACAGGGTGGATCATTTGATATTATTATCTTAATTTATATCGATGTCATAACGCGCAAAGAAAAATGGATTAAAATTACATGGTTGCAAACCTTCCACTTTGTATGTACATCGCCGAACACGTTAAGCTGCGCTAGAAAAATATTCGAGGGTTATCAAGCGCTCAGCTTTACGACCCCATTTCCCCTATAAATTATCGTGGAAATAATAGAGATGGACCGAAGGAACGTCGAGGTTACTTCGAAGTTCAAATAACCTTGCATTTCGATACGTAACGCAAACGGCAACCCAGATTCGCAGAAATTAGATCTATTTTCTCGCATGATCCATAGCACGCCGGGCGCAACCCGTTCACATTCCACCGAAACAATCCAGCCGATCGGAGATATCCGGTGTCTTGTTGGGATCATTAGCTTGAGATCGTGTGACGTAACGAGCCAATCAGTGTCCCAACCGTCCGAGTAATGATCGTGTACCGAGAGGTATTAGCATCGTGGACGGACGGTCGATACCGTTAAACAAAACCTTACCCGGTGACCCTTGGCCTACAGGGTCGCCAGGGACTTTACAGATAACGAGGACGATCTCGTCGAATCGAATCGCTCGTCTTCCACTCGAATCGCCCTCTTTTTTTCGGCCTTCGGCATGCGAGAAAACGGATACGAGCAGAACGAGTAATCCGGATCGCGACCTCTGTCTTTGTTCGGAGCTCGCAACGGGAAACGGACAACGTGATCGAATCGTTGTTACCTCCTTTCCTGATCGTTTATCGTAAAACGGAGCAGATTGTAGAGGCACTTTGTAAAAAAATATGTAACACTCGGAAGCAACGAAACTCTTTTTACGCAATTCGTTCGGTAACGGATCGACAAAAATAATCGACGAGTCGTAGAAAACGTTAGAAAGGATAACGGTTATATACTCGGCGAGAGACGGCTCGACAAAAATGACGGTCATCGGGCCTTCCTAATTGCTATCTTTGATCTGTAAAACGCAGTCAAGCGTTGTCCATGCACGCTCGTGTATCCTTCGTCATCGTCTCGTTACGTTCCTTGAAAAAAGCCACAGGAACTTGCACGTTATCGTAAAATATCCCCGGCTGATTAATTTGCACGATTAGCTAATAACAGTTTGTCGTGCGCGACGATTTAAACCTATTAACGGACGCGATTCCGCTATGGTGCGCTCCAGACTCGATGAGTTACATATCCTGGTGCGACGATCGGTGGGCGGTAATGGGTTAATAACGTTCGCTCTTTCCTGCGTATACTATTACCCATTAAACGCACGCATCCGCGTGGACGTCGTCTGGACTGGAATCGAACGCTTCCGTGGATCGGGATATAATATCGTGGCCAAGATGGGACGGCATCCCGCTGATTCGCTAGATAACCAACCGAGCGAAACCGAGGAATCGTTCACGACACCGGTGACAGATCGTGACCCGTCTTGACCGTAATTACGAACCTCCAGAGCGGTTTATTGCCGTCCGACATTCCGGCGCGCCTAAAATCCTCGCGTTCGGTGGCTGTCACAACAGCCATGACATTAGTAACGCCGGATACGCCGGTCCCGGAACGAACATTCGTCCCTCGTGAGATAAGGGATCTGTCGACGTTCCAACCTCCAGGTCTGCTCGACCCTTTGGTCCCGATGTCTCGCGAGAGAATGTACTCGGTTGTCCCGGTCAAGGATTTCGGGCCACTAAGTGTCACCGCTTTTGTCCTGGAGACTGGAAGAAACTTGATGATACCGGACTTCGTGTCGTAACTTCGAAGACTTCAGAAGTCACTGTCGCAACGTTGGACTCTTGCGATCGTGAACAAAAGAAGTTCCATTGTCGTGGGACTGGACGATATAACGAAATCTGTATCGTTCATAAATTGCAAAATTCTTCCTTGCTTTTGCAAAATTTCAACAGATGTAGTAACGTTCATATTTTATACCTTGCGAGCATAATCTTGGACGTAATTCGAAAGCGTAACCTCAACCCATCGTGGCACCCTGAACCACCGAGGCATCTGGCGAACGAACCCGGTACACGAAGAGGTGCACGCGCCGTGAATTCGTGGCACGCAACAATGTCCGTTGCGTGAAAGCAAACGGTCCACGAGCGTGCCCGTCGATCACGATCGATAAGCCGACCAGAGAGGACACGCTGGAGTCTTTGTACTCTGAACCGGAGAGACAGCGGGTGCATTGTCCTGGTTCGTGGCCTTCCGCGATGGTACCCTGAAGAAGGCGCGGGGTTCAAAGGCGCCGACCACCGTCACGGCGATGCTGAATTTCGCCAAATAGGTACGCGGTCACATATAATGTGCGCATTATATTCAGCAGTCAGGAACCGGCTCGTGTTTGAACGCGGCCTCGCGTGTCTTTGCCTTTCCTCTTCGGACGAAACGCCAACAAACCGTTCCTCCCCCGCTTGTCTTGCCTCATCTTTTGTCTTTGGAACGATATTGGTTCCAGGAACTTTCACTTTTTCGTTTGAGTCTGGATCCGACCGAAATGCCAGAGGGACCGTGTTTGTTCGGAATTCGTCATCTCTCTTGGTAACGGTTTTATCGACCGTTTCGATAATCCAGCAAAACTCGTTAGGGAAGCGTTATATCCTCTTCGTCCCTCGTGAGATAAGGGATCTGTCGACGTTCCAACCTCCAGGTCTGCTCGACCCTTTGGTCCCGATGTCTCGCGAGAGAATGTACTCGGTTGTCCCGGTCAAGGATTTCGGGCCACTAAGTGTCACCGCTTTTGTCCTGGAGACTGGAAGAAACTTGATGATACCGGACTTCGTGTCGTAACTTCGAAGACTTCAGAAGTCACTGTCGCAACGTTGGACTCTTGCGATCGTGAACAAAAGAAGTTCCATTGTCGTGGGACTGGACGATATAACGAAATCTGTATCGTTCATAAATTGCAAAATTCTTCCTTGCTTTTGCAAAATTTCAACAGATGTAGTAACGTTCATATTTTATACCTTGCGAGCATAATCTTGGACGTAATTCGAAAGCGTAACCTCAACCCATCGTGGCACCCTGAACCACCGAGGCATCTGGCGAACGAACCCGGTACACGAAGAGGTGCACGCGCCGTGAATTCGTGGCACGCAACAATGTCCGTTGCGTGAAAGCAAACGGTCCACGAGCGTGCCCGTCGATCACGATCGATAAGCCGACCAGAGAGGACACGCTGGAGTCTTTGTACTCTGAACCGGAGAGACAGCGGGTGCATTGTCCTGGTTCGTGGCCTTCCGCGATGGTACCCTGAAGAAGGCGCGGGGTTCAAAGGCGCCGACCACCGTCACGGCGATGCTGAATTTCGCCAAATAGGTACGCGGTCACATATAATGTGCGCATTATATTCAGCAGTCAGGAACCGGCTCGTGTTTGAACGCGGCCTCGCGTGTCTTTGCCTTTCCTCTTCGGACGAAACGCCAACAAACCGTTCCTCCCCCGCTTGTCTTGCCTCATCTTTTGTCTTTGGAACGATATTGGTTCCAGGAACTTTCACTTTTTCGTTTGAGTCTGGATCCGACCGAAATGCCAGAGGGACCGTGTTTGTTCGGAATTCGTCATCTCTCTTGGTAACGGTTTTATCGACCGTTTCGATAATCCAGCAAAACTCGTTAGGGAAGCGTTATATCCTCGACGCGTTGCATAGCTATTCGCGTGTAAGTAATAAGTACAAACACCGAAGCGTTCCTGACATCAAATTACCTAGCAACTACTGTAAATTGCACCGTATCAAAAGGCGATTCAAAGGCGAAAATAGAGAAGCTACAGGTTGTTGGACGCTTTCAATTTCCGTCGAAACTCGAGCACCTCGTGAATCTCCCTTGCTCCAGGAGCCCCAGGCGCGAATTAATAACGAGCTTGTCCATCGATAAGCCGCGAACAGGCATCGTTGCGACAAAAATAACCCGGTAAATCGAGTTCCCTTATCACGCTGGCGTCGATGATTTCACGCCAAGGATTTTTCAGCTCCTCGGGTCGAATCGATCTGTCGGATCGTGCGAAGTTACTTGCGCGTTCCGTATGATCCAGCAGCTAGCGATTAACGCTCGGCGAAAAAATAAAGGAAATCGAGCGGATTCGATTATTCGTCGAGATTCGAGGCTCGATCTGGGAAACGCGAATCGACGCGGAGAAGGATGCAAAGCGACAGTTGGGACAGGAACACGGTCGAGGAAAGGTAAGCGTTCGCTCGGAGTCGTGGAAAGAGGGAAGAGGAGATGGCACGTTACAAGGAGGAAAGAAATGGCAACGAGACACGGGAGGGACGGAGAGGAGCGAGTACGGACGACGAAGAAAACAAGAAGAAGCGGAGGATCTCGCGAAGCGAGCCACACAAAACCCGAAGAGCTGGCGAGCGAGACGAAGAGTAAGAGGGACGAGAACCAGCCCAAGTCCAGGCCATCCAGCCACGAAAAGGTGTAGGGCAAACGTATACAGGGTGTACCATAAAATCGTTCTACTCCAATTTATCTTTCTTCCTCCTACCTTTTGTAATTTGCAATTCTCCAATTATTCTCGATATTTGGATCAACGCGCCTTCGGACGATTTCAATAATTTGCATCGCATTTAAACGGAATATCTGCGAGTTTGGAATTTCACTTCTCATTCACCACACCCGTGTTCGCATTGACAAATAGCTTGTCCATTCTTGTGCTAGAAAACCAGATAGTACACGGTGAGAAAGTCACACGTTTTTAGTCATCAGAGTCATTTTAAGTGATAAAATATAGTTCGATGAAGCGGAAAGCTTCGTGAATCATGTTTAATGCATGACTTCGGTAATTTGTCTTCGAGCTATTATTCATGCGTTATCGATATCAAAAGTAGCACTTATATCTGGTTAACGAGAGACATCATTTTCGAAACTTTCTACGCTGAACGATATTCCTCGTAGCTCGAGGATGTCACGATAGCTGCTGCTTTAGAACAATGCTCCTCGTCGGTGGATTGGACCAGTTCAGATCGCGAGAGGGTCCTACGTGTCTCCAAATAAACTAGAACGAAATACACGGAACGAAACGTGGCAAAAAGAGAATTGAACTCTTCGGAGTGAGCAAGTTGTTTTCGGGCTGCAGTCTGCATCAGCGTAGCTCCGTCACTTGTTCGAGAACTTCAATTAACTACAATCTTATAGCAACGTTTATCCCTTTAAAACACTCGATTACATATTTTCTATCCTACAAAAATATATTATAAATTAAGTAAACGACCGACACTCTCGCTGTCACAGTGAAAACTGACATACCTAGTCAGACACGCTACCATAAGTTTCTGTTAGCAATTTTTCCTTCGTGTCAATCAGCGCGTTAATAGTGAAGGTATATAAAAAGTTACGTATGCAACATTGTCTTTCGAAAGTCTAGAATATGAAAGAATCGAGTTTCAAATAATTTTAATTGCAACGTGTTTTCACAACGACTCGTTAATTTAAAAGAAAGTAAGAGAATTGTACGGAAAATCTACATCGGCACGCAGTAAACGAAGCGTTGTTTATTCGTGCAAACCTCTGATCGTTTCAAAAACATTGCCCTTCCGTTTCGACTCTTTTCTCTCATTGGCTGTCACGATATTGCTCAACGCGTTATCACTTTCCTCCTCGTTAGGCGAGGCAGATAGCGACTTTCGGTTGTTCGTTGTCGATACACGACCGAATCCCCGTACACCTGACGAGGCCGTTGATTGGCCGAGGCGAAATTTCGGGACCGCTGTCTGATAATGTGCTCGCTTTTGGGACCGAGGAACGACTCGCGTTGGGCCCATGACAAAAACGAGAGATAGGAAAAAAACTCGAAGAGATAACAGCGTGGGGGGTGAACGGGTACATGAACGGCCTCCTCGGAGGGGGCTGCAGAACCGGAATTTTATACAGTGGCGTAACACACTGGATAATACGCGGAGAATCACGAAACTCCTGGTCGATGCTACCGCTCTTACCTCTTACGCGTTCTGTCCTTTTCTTTCCTCCGCGTTTCTCTCTCTGCCGAACTCTGCCTTCTCGTTTCCTTCCTTTTCTACCATCTGGTCGGGGTCGAGATTTCGTTGTTCGATTAGCCTTTCGACGAGCTGGACTGTCCTCTTATCACGAATGCCTAAGATTCGTTCGCTGCTGGTCAATTAAGTAACCCCGATACACGCGGCTAATTAATTTCTGTTGTAATTAACCTTTAACTGCGCCATTAGTTTTTGTTATATTTTCAAACTGTTCTTTTTCCGACGAAAACACACCGTTGACTTCGAAAAAGGGCGAAGCGAGCGCGTGGTCGCCGAGATACTTCCAAGAATATATTAAAATAAATTACGTGACTTTCGAAAAATCATTCCAACTGTCGTGATGTTCCGTAGAGAAGTTGTCTTCCGTGTATAATGGTAATCGGCGAGTAAACATGTTTTTCTGAAAGTTTATTTTCGCGTTGTTTAACCGAAAGCGAGTTGCGTATTAGTCAAGGTAGAACGGCGGAAAAATTCGCCATTGTGTTAGAATAATAGAGTACGGAACACAAAGAGGATCATCGATAAGGAAGAGTCGTCGGACAATGGTAAGAGAGGACGAAGCCAAGCGGTGGCGACTCCTAGCAGCGATGGCCAGAGGTATCGATGACCTTGCCAAGGTCACCGCGTCCTAACTACACAGAGACCCTTCCCTCGTTCTTTCTCCGTCCCTCTTTCATCCTGCATGGTCCTTATTATTATAAAGCAGTTGCCCTGATTCCCCCGAGGCCGTGTGCCATTCATTCGCCTCTCGTTCGTCTTCTGTGGCCCTCCACGCTCCTTTTTCCTCGCCTCGCTTTTTGTCTCGTTACATGCACACGACCATTCTTCGCCGGCTTCGACGCTGAAATCGAAACCGCTGGACCGAGGCCATTATTGCGTCTCTATTGTGCGTCTCTCTACTTCCAAGCTGCGTGCTCGCGATCCTAAGAGGTTCATTTCCCTTTTTCCGCCCTCTTTTCAACCATTTCGAACTGTTGTTTTCGCTTCGATGCACCGGAACGACACCGTCTGGTTTTTGTCGTCCGAAGTGGCCCTTGCCGATATATTCGGCGTTTCGAGAACTATGTCGTCAAAGTATCTCTCCGACGTCGAAAAACCGCAATTTTTCTCGATTTAACGCGCGTATAAATTGGTTCGCGTGTTTTCAACTCGTTTTACTCGTTTCAGAAGCAAGAACGGCGACAACCCGATGGTCCACGAGACCGGCAACAGTAACAGTGGCGGAGGATTGGGCAAATGGCTGCGCGAACATTTGGGCGGTGGCTCGAAGGGCCAAGGCCAGGACGCGTCCTCTCCGCCGAAGACGAACAGCAACAGCTTCGTTGGCAATTCTGGAAACGAGAAACCCTGCGGCAGGACCGTGTACACCTCGCAAAACCTTTACTGCAGCCTGCCGAGGGAACACGGCCGCCATCATGCTTACAATGGCGCTCGAAAGACCGGCCACGGGAATTCTGTGAAGCCCCAAGGTTACGATCGACAACGATGCGCCAGCGTGAACCATCACGAGAAGACCACCTTGAGCGACCTTGGAACCCTGACGAGAGGCGGGCCGATCTACGGCAGCGAGGGGAAGACCCCGAAGAAACGAAATCGCGATCGACGAAGGCACTCGTTGAACGAGACGCACGAGCAGGGCCGCCAACGTCGAAGAAGGTGAGTGAAAATTCTATAATTAAATAAATCGCCACGCTGGGTACGACCAGCTGGAAAATACCGATTCAACGCCGTCTCGCGCAAACCACAGAGTCATCTCTTCGATCTACGAAGACCGCAGATACCCGGTGAGATTAATTTAATTTGTTCGAGACGTCGCTGCGAACAGCGAGTTCTTTGAACGCGTTTCGGGGCTAATGCGATTGGAAACTCGATCTACACGGTGCTGCGTTCTTACTTCGCAACTTATTATTCGACTCGCAGATGTTAGCGATGCTGCAAAATTTTCTTTTTACTCGCTAATCGATTCTGTAGGATTCCAATAACGAATTAAACTTCGAAACTAATAAAAAAATTGCCGATCATTCGATCAAGTGTATCGGGATTTCTAACGTTTCTCAGCGACAAAATATTTTTGCGAAAGGAAAAAATTGTTGGGACTCTATTTACCGTAGACAGAACACGCAATATCTCCGAGGCATGTTAAGAGAAAGAAGATAGCGAACGACGCTAACGACGTGTCATACCGACGTCTTCTTTAGATGACTAAGGGTATACGATTATTTATAGAAGATGGAAAATGGCATGAAAAACAAGCCGATACAAAGTAAACATCTAGTCATTCAAGAATCTCTCGCACCTCGAGCTTTTCGCGTTATCTACCCCGCGTTCAGCGGCGTTGATGCGCTCGTCTCCGGACAACTAATTTCACGGAACAATTTATACCCAGAGGCGGTCTCCGCTTTTCTGCGTCGATTTTCCTGTGTCAGGAAATCGATGCCCGAGGCACGGTTAGACGATCGGTCTTTTTTGTCGACCATACGTCCACGATGTCGCGGCAAGTTCGCGGAAGTCGCTTCCCGGGTACAAACAGCGGATCTAAAAAGGGAATTGCGGAGAGTAGCCCGCGGCACGCTTAGCGCTGTCGGTCGTAACACGCCATTGGTAAAAACGGCCAGAGTCGTTGGCCGCTCGTCCTCGTACACATTGAATCGTCAAACAGAAAATTACGGTACAATGCATCGAGGTGGAAACGAGCCGAACGAAGACAGGACGCACGAGCAGGGCCGCCAACGTCGAAGAAGGTGAGTGAAAATTCTATAATTAAATAAATCGCCACGCTGGGTACGACCAGCTGGAAAATACCGATTCAACGCCGTCTCGCGCAAACCACAGAGTCATCTCTTCGATCTACGAAGACCGCAGATACCCGGTGAGATTAATTTAATTTGTTCGAGACGTCGCTGCGAACAGCGAGTTCTTTGAACGCGTTTCGGGGCTAATGCGATTGGAAACTCGATCTACACGGTGCTGCGTTCTTACTTCGCAACTTATTATTCGACTCGCAGATGTTAGCGATGCTGCAAAATTTTCTTTTTACTCGCTAATCGATTCTGTAGGATTCCAATAACGAATTAAACTTCGAAACTAATAAAAAAATTGCCGATCATTCGATCAAGTGTATCGGGATTTCTAACGTTTCTCAGCGACAAAATATTTTTGCGAAAGGAAAAAATTGTTGGGACTCTATTTACCGTAGACAGAACACGCAATATCTCCGAGGCATGTTAAGAGAAAGAAGATAGCGAACGACGCTAACGACGTGTCATACCGACGTCTTCTTTAGATGACTAAGGGTATACGATTATTTATAGAAGATGGAAAATGGCATGAAAAACAAGCCGATACAAAGTAAACATCTAGTCATTCAAGAATCTCTCGCACCTCGAGCTTTTCGCGTTATCTACCCCGCGTTCAGCGGCGTTGATGCGCTCGTCTCCGGACAACTAATTTCACGGAACAATTTATACCCAGAGGCGGTCTCCGCTTTTCTGCGTCGATTTTCCTGTGTCAGGAAATCGATGCCCGAGGCACGGTTAGACGATCGGTCTTTTTTGTCGACCATACGTCCACGATGTCGCGGCAAGTTCGCGGAAGTCGCTTCCCGGGTACAAACAGCGGATCTAAAAAGGGAATTGCGGAGAGTAGCCCGCGGCACGCTTAGCGCTGTCGGTCGTAACACGCCATTGGTAAAAACGGCCAGAGTCGTTGGCCGCTCGTCCTCGTACACATTGAATCGTCAAACAGAAAATTACGGTACAATGCATCGAGGTGGAAACGAGCCGAACGAAGACAGCCTCTCGTCTCGTTAATCGAGGGGACGACGTACGCGGGATTTTGTTGTACATCGTTTTCCGCGTCGTCGAAGACACCGGCCATTTCTTCGAGAGAAGAAAGGACGGAGAGGAGCCTCGTTGTATTACAAGCCGACGTACTTTCGTCGAACATCGGTCAGGCAGAATTGTTTCTCGTCGGCGAGACTTCGCGCCGAGTCATTGGGCGCGCAAATGCCGACGCGATGCAAGCGGGCACGCGTTACGACAGAACTCGATGCCAATTCATTCGATGGAATTATGAAACACGCGACGAGCGTCGGCTCGGTTTTATTTCTCCGACGAAAGCGCTCGTCGTATCGTACAATTTTCTTCGGAGATGGACGCCGCGGGGTGTAACCTCGATTTTTCGACCGAGAGGAAACCACTCTCGACTAAGATGATTTAACGTGGACGGCTGCCCCCTCGAACGTCCGGTTATCGCGGGTATAGTAAGACGGCAGCTCCTTACGTCGGTTGTACGTGTCCACGACTGGTATGCGGCCAGTATGTACGTCCGGGATATATGGTTGTCTTCGTGCTGGCCCTTCGTATAAGACCCTCTTCGTGCCGGTCCTTCGTATAAGACCCTGTTCGTGCTGTACGTAGAATCCGAGGCCGCGGTTCGCGAAATACCGATGTACTCGGAGTTCGTCAGCGATCCACGAACGAGTCAGAGAAAGCGCGAAGTAAGGAAAGAAAGGGAGAGAGGCGAGCAGTAGGCTTGTTGGGTTCTGAATTTACGACGAAGACCGCGATAACCTCGATAGCCCGACACGGGTATATTGCCGCCCCGAAGACGGCCAGCTGTCTATCGCGGTTCCCCGTTGCTGCTCCGCTCACTTTCTGCATCCTGGAATTTCGGAGACGTTTCTCCTCCGGAGAGGTAACCGGGAAACGGATGAAAACTAATCGCTCGTTTCGCGGACCGACGTCCATTTATCGAATTTCACGATCCAGGACTTTTACGCGTTTTTTAAATTCGAGGATATAAAACTGTTCGAAGCGGTAAACTCGTGGAACGAGAGCGCGATGCGTGGCACTCGAACGGTCAATGTCTAACCGACAGTAAAAATTCCAAAAGCTGCTCTCGAACGAACACACACTCGAGAGTAACAGTAGGAAGTAACTCGCGCCAGGTTCTCTCGAATAGACACGTACCTCGGCTCTTCACGGGGACATTCTCGGCGTGAAACGAGTTTACACACAACGATCGAGAGACAGGAGTCTACCGTGAATCGATAAGCACGGGACCAGGAAAAATGCTAGCACGCGCGTACACAACGTTCACTCATATCTCTGCGCGGTGCTTTATTAATGGTCGGAGCATAAACAATGACACTAGTCGTGCTAGCTGACTAGACGAGCGAAAAGTATCGCGTGCGTTACTCCACAAAGCGATATCTCGTAGGAATATCGTTCGATCGGAGGCGGACGTCTCGGTATATATTCGCGTCAAACGCAACGTACGACACCGGGAGGTGTTATACCTGTCGTGGCCGTTCTCGCTCGCGTACACGCGCGTTCGTCTATCCTGCACGGCCATCTGAAAAAGCCGTTCGAGTAACGACGTATTCTCACGCGTTTATTCGCCAGCCAC